TGGGGGGGGGGGGGGGGGGGGGGGGGGGGGGGGGGGGTGGGGGTGACAGTATAATAAAAGGAGAGGGGATTAAAAACACGTCCACTGAGACGAGTCCACCGGTGTCGTCGATGAGCCGAGGTACGGTCGCCCTCGTTCGATTGAGAACATAAAGACCCTCCCCGCTGTCTGAGCGCCAGCCTGAGAGCTCAGCGGAGAGGCTGAGAAGACGGGGGTCGGAGCTAATTCCATGGAGGGGCGGCGTGTGAATCGGCCAGAGTCATTTGTGTGCTACTATGGTGGATGGATTGGTGGGTGTTTGCGTCCTGTAAAGCCTGGTACCGACTCAGTCGCGTGGGTCTTGAAAAAGGCATTTCAGAAGACATGGCCTTATTGTAGAAACGGGCACCATTTTACCATCCAGCACTTAAGGTTCTCAGTGGAGGAGAGCGCCGGTCCGGCACTGCTCGAGACAGTGGTGGTCTACTATGGTCTGTGAAACCTAAGAGACGAGCAAAAAAAGAAAAAAAGAAGTGTTGTTTCAAAACATTTCATCAGCTCATCCAGAGCTCCCTGCTCTGTGCAGCAGCCACCACCTTCAGCATGCAAACAGCCCAGCTGTACATCAACCGAAAACCAAAAAGGGGGCATACGCGGGCGCCTGCAGAATGAACGGATTCTGCGCGTTACCTGGTTAAATGGCGACTTGACTCGTGCACTTCCATCTCGTGGCTCTTGAAATCGTTGAGTTCCTTGCGTATAGCTGCCTGCAGAGGACAAACGAGGGAAACCTTTAGTACACAAACTGCAGCCTGCTTCATGCATCATTTACGCTCATCTCGAGGCCACGAATTGAAAATATTCTGCTGAATTCTCTTTTCACATCACAAGATGTCCTCCCCCTCAAGACATCAGAGAGCATAAACAGTACTATACGATCTGTTGCTCTTCTACCTGGGTAGTCAGCTTGTGCTTTTTAAACTGTTTACATAGACTAAAAATACACGCCGAAAAAATAAAACATTGAAATAGCATTTTCACTTTCGACCAATACAGGTTTATATTTAAAACGAAGAGAGAAAACATATTTTTTTCTGAGTCGGTTTTGGAGCACAAACCGAAGCCGTTTCCATTCATGTAGTTCCACACCTTCACATTTGGGACGACACCCAGTGAATCATGGCGTCTAAGTAGCACCACTGGAGCAGTGCAGGGATGAGTGCCTTGCCCAAGGGGCAGGATGATTGTGCAGATTCTCAAAGTGAGGATGAGTCAAAGTTCCAGGGAATAAAATGGCGTGCTGTGCCCGTTTTTTTTTTTTTTAAATATGGTTACATCCCATCCCCTCTAAATGTGTGACATCAACCCAGGCAGGTGATGTCACCGATTTTGATATTCGACATGACTTCTATATACTGTGCTAGATGGAGACAGTTTTTTTTATATACATCAGCAAAGCCTCACTGAGGGGTCCTGAGGCAGTGCTTGTACGATCGCTCTCTTATGTAAGGGGAGATGTTGCATAATCAAAAAAAGCCCGCTGAATCCCCGTGATGTTCACATGAGCGCTCCTCAGGTGTGACCTGCCATGTTCAGAACTGCGCATCTTCAAAAGCAAGGGGAGGCAGCATCGCTGCTCTAAAAAAAAACAAAGAAATCAAGACCTCATTAAAAGTCAGACGCATGGACCGCTGGGCAGTGAGCAGCAGGACCGCTGCAGGGTGTTCACCCACACCAGGGGAACCAAACAGCTGAGCTGGAACTTGCCATATAGCAAGAGATGAAGGAGCACAACACGTCCCACTATCATCACTCTCCTGCCGAAGGGGTTGAGGCGCAGAGAGCTGTCGAGATCACTAGAAGATGATTTCATTTTAACGAAGCGGAAGTGATACTGGCCTTGTCAGCTGCTGTGAGCCGGGTCCAGGGTTTATCTGCCCGCCTGTCGTAGTCCTGGGCGTCCGACACCTCCACGTAGTCACTGAATCGGATGAGAATCTTGGCCATTCTCAGCTCCTCTACAGTGGGCCTCTGGCTCAGCTGGAAAGAGAGCAGGAGAGAATAGAGTTGGAGAAGAGAAAACCTAGCAACTGTCACGGTTAGCAGCTTCTCAGATTTCTCCAAATATTAAGTTCCTTCTCCACATTCAGTGTTTCTGATTTGGTTCAAGACCACACGGGATGTTTATTCAAATCAATGGGCTTAAAGAATCTATTGGTAATTTCAGAGAAGTGTAATGCACCAATTGTAGATGGAAATCACCAACATCTGGCGCCAAATCAGCCAGGTCGCTCGATATTAGCTCATCACAGCTATCAGTGTCGGAGGACATCGATGAACAACAACAAACTGCGGTACATACATGAAACTCATTTTCAAATTAGAGATCTCTTATAGCGGTAGAATGTTGTCGGTATCATGATCAGAAATCAAATCAAAAATTAAATTAAATTTAGTTGTTTAAAAACCTATTTTGTTCAATACAGTGCCCGCTGCTGAATGTCACTACGCTGTACACAACAAGGTGTGTGATGCGCTAAATAAAATCCTCCAACAGCTGCAAGATTTTTTGTTTTGAGCAGCATGTCTGCAGGTGAGCAGGAAGTGCTAGAAAGTAATTGAAAGTGACGGGGAACATGCTCGACGCCTCGCTATGGGGGTCCAAGGATTTGGCAGCCAACATGCTGAAAG